GAGTACACCTATGAGCATGATATAATTTGTCAATCAAAAACTACAAGCACAAGTTATGAAAACAGTGGCCCAGGGCTTTGTATTCTTTATATACATTTTTATTTTCCAAAACAAGAAGAAACCTTATCATAGAATATAACATATACCAATATGGACAGTGGATGCTTACATGCTAATGTGCTCACAGCAGATGTCCTGTTGTAATGTGATTTGAATGGACTAAACATATGAGGGGAAAGTTAATAGTAGAGACTTAAAGCAGAACTCTAGGCAAATGGATAAATGTTTAAATACACATATGTTCACTATTATACCTGCCATAAAATTATTCATGTTAAGATCACTGCGAATAACAAGGGGTCATTTTTTGCATCTGGAGGAAAAGAGGTTTAACCTTCGCATGCGGAAAATGCGGAGCAGGCTACCTCATTTACTTGTTCTAGTTAGCTCAGATAATTGTTTAAAAAAAATCTGGATGCATTCCTAAATCAGCCGAATATAACTGGATATTAACATTTTCTAAGAAAAAAAAGAGCAGAGATTGTTGATCCGGGGAATATCCTTAAGGGATCGGGAAGAACGTTTTTTTCCCCTATTGAAGCAAATTGAACCATGCTTTAAGGCCTTGGTTCTCAACTGGTGGGTCGTGACCCAACAGTGGGTCGCGACTCCATGTTCAGTGGGTCGCCGCATGCCTTCCACTTTTCTAGGTGAGAAGCTCCTCAGCCTTCCTCTAGCACAGCACAGTCAGTTCTCGTGCCAAGAAGCCATTCAAAATATACTGCCCGGTGCTGAGTGTCGGCTTGAGCTGGGGTGGGCTGGGGTTATGGCCGCGAGGGAGCTCTATATATAAGTGCATTGTTTACGGCTACCTTGTGTGACCTACAGAGGTGCCTAGACCGGAATGATGTAACATTCTGGCTCCTGGCATCTCTACAGGGCGCGCAAGGGAGCCGTAAAACTGGATGCACATATGGATGGAGCTCCATCACAGCACAGCAGCCCACATTGGATCCCAGGCTCAGGATCCACTCCAGTTCTCATAAGGTAGGGAGACTGGGTTTAAAGGCACCCCAAATGCATCACCCACCTACATTTTGGAACGTGCAGTGCCGCAATGCCATGTGTTCCATTGCAGTGCGACTTGGGTCGCTACTTAATGACCGAGGACAAATGTGGGTCCTGAGGTTACAAAGGTTGAGAACCATTGCTTTAAGGGACTTTTTTCTTCCTCTGGATCAACTGTGGGAATAGGGTTCTGTTTATGGAGGATTTTTCTCTAAACGTTAAACTCATTGGTCATTGGCTCATGGGTCATTTTTTAACCTAACTATGTAACTTTGTAAGAATTAGTAACTCTGTATAACCAGTGTAGCGCCCACTGCTATGTCGCTATTAAATTTAGTGTTATATCTGGACTGTAATCAGTATGGGTGCTGATTGGTCTGAGATCTGCAGGTTTCCCTACATCTGATAGATTGATTGATTCTACCTTTTGCTGGGTTGGAGCCTCAGCATACAGTGTGCGAGAATCAATCCTCAGATTATGAATATGCATCTGACTCTGACCAATCCCTGAGCAGGCTCACTCAGAGTTATGGCTGGAGGAAGGTGATAAATATTTGGGAACACCTTCCAGAACTCTCTGACCTGGAGCTTCTCTCTGGGGGGAGGTCTGTGTGCTGCAAGATGCCTGGCCTAGGCCTCAGCATGTGGCAGATGCTGGGATCCCAGAGACCTAAGATGCTACTGAGAAGAAACCTGATGGAAGATGGGTTGGAGGAAGAATCTGCTTACTGAGGACTGTCGCAGAGGAGCTGCCATCTGGACCCTGTAGGCAGGGGCGTACCTGCCGCGAGGCAAACAAGGCGTTTGCCTGGAGTGGCAGATTCCCTGAGAGCGGCAATTGCTGTGGTCTCTCCCCTTGATACATTTTATTTATCAATATTATGGAGGCTTGTGCTGATGGGGAGGCGGCGGCACATAATGTCAACCCGGGGGGGGTGCTGATGCGGTCGGTTGACAGTAATGTCTTGCCCAGGGCAGCAGGATTTGTAAATACACCACTGCCTGTAGGTGATTCCTCGCTCATTCATGCAGGTACTAGAGTCTTGGACTTTTCCTGGCTGTACTCTGGTGCTACTACCTATCACTGGTCACTCTCATAGGACCTTTTGGTTACGGTTACTACTGATGCTAATTGTGAAGACACTGTCCTCTATTTTTTTTCTTCGGTATCCTGAGACCCTAACCCTCTCTCGTAGTTACTACTGAGTCAATACATTTTAAAAAGACCCTACGACTCGAGCCTGTTCTATCCTAAAGTGTTGGTGCTGCTGGAGCCAAGGAAAAGGACTGGTGGCTGGCAAACAGGTAGTAGAACCTAATTCATATCCAGCGTCTCCTTAAGGGTTGAGCGCTACACCAGTTTTGTAATTTATGACCTATGCCATACTGCACAGCCAGACTGGTTCGGGAAATCCAATAGCTTCCAGCTGTCTGCCTCCAGCTTGTTCATTGGACAATGGGATTGATTTACTAAAGCAGTGAAGACTGTTCACTTACCAAATGTAAGCATGATACAATAGTACACCGGATTGAGAACCACATAAGTTAGAAATCTGAAACATACAGCCCCTCTAGGGTGACAGAGATGACTATCGTTAGGCTATGAACTAAGTGGCTTCAAGCCGGCTTATGAAAGGCCTTTTTCAACTTATAGAATGTCCTATGCCTTCCTATGTTAAAAAGTACAATATATTCTGGGTCACATTACTTGGTC